CTCTCCTTTTATCGAAGGCCTTCTTACTATCTTCTTAGGCTTTTGTGATAGCCTCCTGTAGCACCCTGTTATTTGTTGAAAAGAACTGTAACATGTCTTGTGTAGCAGGTACTAGACTCTCTGGAATCGTGTCAGGTAGAAATATCTGATGGAATCCGTAGTTGGCAAAAAACGGAGATTGTTGGGGTTGTTTTGGGGTTCGACTCATTGTTGCCCATTTAGTGCACCTGTTAATGTCATTAACACCAAAGCAGCTGAAACTGATGAACAACCCCCTCTGCTACTTACCTGACCAGATCAATAACCCAGGAGTTTCATTGACTTGATGCTAGACTCTGATTAAGAAGTCTTCCTTTCATTTTTCTTGAGCAGTGTGTATAAGTAAAGCGCTATAGAAGTACCTGTAATAAATACAATAAAATAAAATGGAAGATAGCTAGATGGAAGCACTCTCCTGCGGACAGACTCTAAATAGAGCTCCCCCTAGCTGCATTCTGGTAATAAAACATTGCTAGGAGGTCGATTTCATTTAGCTGCTACATACTTCCCATCGTTATATAAATGTCTTCTGACATTTAGGGGGTCTATATATGAAGGTAAAAAAGACCTGTGTGTAGCAGCCCCCCCCCTAATACTTACCTGAGCTCCATCCCGATCCAGTGATGTCCATCAGAGCCTTGATTCTCTGGGGACTCTCACTCATGATTGGCTGAGGCAGCATTGAGAACCACTGGAGCCAATAAAGAGAGGGAGGGAATGGACACTCAGAGCTGCAGCTCCGGAGCGTGCCTGCTTGGGGGAACCCTAAAAGAGGGAGAGGCCAGGAGCGCCAAAAGGGGACCCAAGAAGAGGATTCAGGCTGCTCTGTGCAAAACCATTACACAGAACAGGTAAGTATGACGTGTTTGTTATTAAAAAAAAAATATTTTTTACTATCACTTTAACAAGTAATTGATAACGATCATCCAATAGATGGTGCGAATTTGTAAAATACATAGAGCCTTCAAATGGCCAAATACAATATTTTCCATTTTTAATCAACAGTTGGTTTATTAGCGATGGTTTAAACCCCTTGCCTACCGGGCACTTCCCCCCTTCCTGCCCAGGCTAATTTTCAGCTTTCAGCACTATCGCACTTTGAATGACAATTGTGCGGTCATGCAACACTGTACCCATATGACATTTTTATCATTTTTTCTCTCACAAAAATAGAGCTTTCTTTTGGTGGTATTTAATTGCTGCTGGGTGTTTTATTTTTTGCTCTACAAACAAAAAAAAAGCAAAAAAATTTGAAAAAAAAATGTTTTTTCTGTTTTTATTATAAAAGTTTGCAAACAGGTAATTTTTCTCCTTCACATGTGCGTTGATGAGGCTGCACTGATAGGCAGCAGTGATGGGCACTGATGAGGTGGCATGGATAGGCAGCACTGATAGGAGGCACTGATGGGCAGCACTGATGGATGGCATTGACTGGTGGCACTGCAGGGCGGCACTGATGGGTACAGGTAGGTGGCAATGATGGGCACAGGTGGGTGGCAGAGGTGGGCAGCACTGCTCATCAGTGCCCTGATCAGTACCAATCCCTTTGCTGACAATTGCCGATTCTCAGCAGTACTTTCCTCATGCTGTGACAGTGTGAGGAAAGTGCAGCCGATAACCAGCAACTGTATTTACCTGGTGATCTGCTCTGTCATTGGACACAGCTGGTCACATGGTAAAAGGCCTCTGTGGTTGTCCTTTTACCATATCAGCGATTACTGGTGGTGCCGGGTGCGCACCGCTGGGAGCACGCAGGGGGCGTGTTCTGGGAGGACATGCATGGACGCCCTCTCAGAACTAGACAACTGCGCTGTATCTGTCTTTCGGCTATAGCACGGTTGGAAAGTGGTTAACCTCCTGCTGACAGTTCTCTGTAGGAGTACAGTGGCACACCGGCTTTCTGGTGCCAGGTCACGTATTTGGTGCGTGATCCGACAATCCTGGGTAGAGCGTGCGTGCAAGCGCCCCCCGGCTGTGCTGTAATTAGTCACAGTACAAGCAGATCAGTGGGTGCCGGTCCACGATTGACCGCCGCCACCTGCTGATCAGCGAGGAGGAAGACAATACAAAGCTCTGGCCTGTCAGTGGGGATGTGCTTGTTTTTATTTCCCTGCAACGCAGGGAATAAAAACTGGCACATACCTTAGTGAAAACAGACACATAAACACTGGTTAGGCACACATTTAACCCTTTGATTGCCCGATATGTTTAACCCCTTCCCAGCCAGTGTGATTAGTACAGTGACAGTGTATATTTTTAGCATTGATCACTGTATTACTATTACTGGTCCCCACAAAGTGTCAGTTAGTATTAGATTGCCCACCACACTATCGCAGTCTTGATATAAGTCGCTGATCATCGCCATTACTAGTATTAACAAATAATATATCAACATTCCAGTATATAAACCATAGTTTGTAGACGCTACAACTTTTGTGCAAACCAATCAATATATGCTTATTGGGATATTTTTTTAACCATAAATATGTAGCAGAATACATATTGGCCTAAATCTATGTAACGCCCGCCCAGACTCTCTAGATAGGCTGTTTTTTGCTATTTTTTAAGCAGAGTAGCAGCCTGGGATGAGTCAGCCTGTGAGTGAGGGAACAGTTCATCTCAGGTCAGGCTAGAAGGCTCTAACAAGCCAGGGCTTCTGAAGCCATCCCTCCTCTCCAGAAACCTGAGAGCTTTCTTCAGGAGGGATGGAGGCCCAGATCTGCATGTTTAACCACCTGCTGACCGCAGATAGCCGAATGATGGCTACACTACGGCTGGCCAGTTCTGGGAGGGCGTCATATGACATCCTCCCAGAATGCGCTCTCCTGCGCGCACCCGAGGGCGCGCACCCGGCGATCTCCATGATCGCTGTGTCCTATGGACACAGCTGATCACGTGATGTGGTAAAAGGCCAATCACAGTGGCCTTTTACCATGTGATTAGCCGTGTCCAATGACATGCTGATCACCGGGAAATGCAATTGCCGGTTCTCGGCTGCACTTTCTTCACGCTGTCAGAGCGCGAGGAAAGTACTGCTGAGAACCGGCAGTTGTCAGAGCAGGGATTGGCACCGATCATCAGGGCACTGATGATCAGTGCCCTGATGATCGGTGCCCAGCAGTGCCACCCACCAGTTCTGCCAACCTGTACCCAGCAGTCCGCCCACCTGTGCTCAGCAGTGCACCCACCTGTGCCCAGCAGTGCACCCTCCTGTGCTCAGAAGTGCCACCTACCTGTGCCCAGCAGTGCCACCCACCTGTGCCCACTAGTGCCACCCACATGTGCCCACCAGTGCCACCCACCTGTTCCCATCAGTGCATCCCAGCCAGTCAGTGCCCAGTGGTTGTGCCAGTCAGTGCCCAGCAGTTGTGCCAGTGAATGCCTAGCAGTGCCACCAGTCAGTGCCCAGCAGTGATGCCAGTCAGTGCCACCTATCAGTGCTGTCTATCAGTACCCATCATCAGTGCCGCCTATCAGTGCTGCCTATCAGTTCCCATCAGTGCTGCCTATCAGTGCCGCCTATTAGTGCCCATCAGTGCTACCTCATCAACGCACATCAGTGAAGGAGAAAAATTACCTGTTTGAAAAATTTTATAATAGAAACAAAGAAACTTTTTTTTTTTTCAAAATGTTTGCACTTTTTTTGTTTATAGCGCAAAAAGTAAAGTGCCCAGTGGCGATTATATACCACCAAAAGAAAGCTCCATTTGTGACAAAAAAAATTATAAAAATTTCATATGGGTACAATGTTGCATGACCGCGCAATTGTCAAAGTGCGACAGCGCTGAAAGTTGAAAATTGGCCTGGTAAAGAAGGGGGTATAAGTGCCCGGTAGGAAAGGAGGTTAAGGGACCCTGGACAATCCCCTGGCAGAAAGCTTGGCATGGTGACCAGGGCAACCCACAAATGTGGCAGAGCCTGGGAAAGCAGGGGCAGAGTGTTGGGTGGAAGATGGAGTGAGGAAGGCTGGAGTGTGGAGCCTGCCTACTGGAAAAGAGGATCTCCACTGCACCACCATCTCCTGGGGAGGACATCCTGAGCAGCAGGGAAGGAGCCAGCCCAATGAAAGGCCTGAAGGCAGCCACCAACCTGACAGGACAGTGAGTACTCCTACACCTGCTGGGTGGGTAAGGGGAGAGGGCAGTCAGGTGAAAGACCCAACTAGCTTCTCACCCGAGACTGCTTGTGCTAAATTGGCAGCTACTGGGCCCCCTTGCCCAGGGAATACCCTCAGTGCAGTTGGGTGAAGAGGAGGAATCATCCGGGGTCTGAGGAGGTACATGAGGAAGAGTCTTTGGAGCTCTTCAATGAAAGAAACTGTTGCTATCCACATTTTTGTACATAGTTGCTGAGGAGTTTATCCTCACATTCTGCAGTACCTCAGGCATTCCATATACCTCTAGACCCCATCCAAGTTCTTGACCCCTTAATAAAATCACAAAACAAAGCTCAAGGACTGTTCTTTGACTCCAGTGTGCAAAGTATGGAAAGTGCTTGTTGCCTGGCCGTGCATAGCTTAGGAAGACCAAAAACTCAGTGAGGGCAATGCTACATTTATGAAGAAATTAGATTTTTGTTTTTAATTTTTATTGAATATGTTTTATAGTAGAAATTAAAAAATATTGTGTTTTTTTTTTTTTAAAAATGTTCGGTCTTTTTTTAATTATAAGTCAAAAAAAAAGGCAGTGATGATCAATGGCCAACCCGGTCCCACACTTCATCCATGTTTTTGGTGACCTCTGATCTCCTTATGAACTGTTTCTTCCATCATGAAGATCAGCCATGGAGTATATCTGAGGTGTATATCAGGGTGTGCTTCTTCCCCACATGAGAGCTGGGATGTCCAGCAACATTCATCTAGAAGACATTTCCCGCACTCAAGGCACTAATACACCTCCAGGGTTGTGTGGGACCCCTGATGTACAGGAAGACAGGACTTCAGTGAGGAACATTTCCCTCACTCAGGACAGGGAAGTGGCTTCTCCCCTGTGTGAGATCTCTGATGTTTATAAAGATTGGACTTCACTGAAAAACATTTCCCACACTCAGTACAGGAATACGGCTTCTCCCCTGTATGAGACCTTTGATGTCTGACAAGATCTGATGTTTGTACAAAACCTTTCCCGCACTCAGGACAGGAATATGATTTTTCCCCCGTGTGAGACCTCCGATGTCTGACAAGTTTTGATTTTTTAACAAAGCATTTACCGCACTCAGGACAGGAATACAGTGTCTCCCCTCTGTGAAAACTCTGGTGAATATAAAGATTGGACTTGCATGAAAAACATTTTCCACACTCAGGACAGGAATACGCCTTCTCACCTGTGTGGAATTTCTGATGTGTCAAAAGGGAGGACTTCACCGAAAAAAACATTTCCCACACTCAAAACAAGAATAAGGCTTCTCCCCTGTGTGCCGTCTTTGATGTCTGTAAAGATCAGACCTCCTTGAAAAAAACATTTCCCGCACTCAGAACAGGAATGAGGCTTCTCACCCGAATGAGACCTTTGATGTCTGTTAAGATGTGACTTCTGTGAAAAACATTTCCCGCACTCAGAACAGAAATATGGTTTTTCCCCCGTGTGAGATCTCTGGTGTGTGGCAAGTTCTGTTTTTCTTAAAAAACGTTTTCCACACTCCGAACAGGAATGCTGGATGCAGCTTTTCACCTGTATGAACTCTCTGATGATTATAAAAAGAGGACTTCTCTGAGAAACATTTCCCACACTCAAAACAGGAATACGGCTTCTCCCCTGTGTGAGATCTCTGATGTGTGCTAAGACTGGACTTCTGTGAAAAAAAACATTTCCCGCACTCAGGACAGGCATATGGTTTTTCCCCTGTGTGAGATCTTTTATGTGCATCGAGCCCGGATTTAAAATGGAAACGCTTCCCACACTCATTACAGGAAAACTCTCTTATCTGTTAGGAGGAAAACAATATCCCGCACAGTCTGAGGTTCCTCCGGATACGAGGAATCCGATGGTCCATCTACACTGGGTGGTGCCGGATGGACATTGGAGGGAGCCGGGTTTTCTCCTGGACTATACTGTGTGATGTCCTCATCTTCTACTTTCCAGTCTGGAGACAAAGTGAGACAATCCTCGGAGGTTTTCCTCATCTCCCGGCCATGGACTAAAATACAAAGACAAAGAGGATTACTAGACAGGAGCTGATTGGTTCCCCCAAACCAGGACTCCGCCCACATCAGGCAGCTTGGTCTCTGAGGAGCTTACAATTCCACCCTCAAGGGAACTAGGAAATGGCTCCTCTGATCTCCTACCAGGTCATTTCTTTATTCATGGACCTTAGTCAGAGAGTGAGGAAAAACCCAGAACTGTCTTTTATAGGAGGGACAGTGATGAGGGGATTATAGGACGAGGGTCCCCACCCCCTCTATCACTCATCGCCATCTTCCCAACACAAGAAGTACTGCACTTCCTTATTTAGTCCATGATTTAGTCATGAAGAACAGCGGGGCTGAGCCCCACCAGAGGTCAGAGTGAGAGTGAGGATGGGGGGAGAACAAAGATGAAGACTGGACTGATCCTGAAGACCACCATCATTGGGGTATTGACTCCTCCCTCATTATCACTTTCTATTTAAGGGTCCGAAGTTGGAGGATGTTATCACATTATATATCACCATGTAAAAGTCTGTGCTCCAATCACATCATCCGATATAAAATGTCCAGATGGTAGGAAATGGGTGTAACAAAAGAGTACACATTGTAGAAATAGAAAGATATACCCACTGCACACCTCACCCGGCCTGAGTGGTTAGCAGGTACAAAAGCACCCTTAGCTGTATTCATCCAAGCCATGCCCCCAACATGTTCTGCCCTGCCCACAAAGAGTAGGCCTAAAACCTTTTGTAGTCATCCTTGCCTCCGAGGGCATTTCTTTTGTTACATGTTTTAGTAATGTGTATGTTGAAGCTGATTGAACTCACATGCTTTTAATCACACTCAGAACTACATGTGTACTATTTAAGTAGTGTTTTTTTAGAGTATGTGTCAGTCATGATTAAGGCCAGTTTGGCTGAAACGCATTGACATTTGTGGCTGTCTTTTGTTACCCACCAACAAAAAGATTTCAGAGCATACACCGGAGTGCTGGCTTTTCTTTATTTATACAGACCGTATGGATGAGGAGTCAGCCGCCTTTGCCAGAGCGCCAGTGATTGGGCCGCATTACTATATTGGGAGGTAGAAGCACCTATGAGGAGGGATGGAGGCCCAGGACAGGGAACACAGCTCAGGAAAGTGACCAGGGGATTACAGGCTGATATCACCCAGTCCCCGCCCTACTCTGGACCAATCAGTGAGCAGTATGGGTGGAGGAATGGATTTAGTGTTCATGACCCACCTGTGCTGATCTCTGTAGGAGTGTCCTCCTCTATAAATGTCCCCGTTATTCCATCCTCCTCCATAGACTGCTGATCATCCCTCACATACGCCTCTTCTTCTTCTGATTTAACCTCAACTTTTATATCTATCAAATCTTCACCCTAAACCAAGAGAATAATAATAAGAGGTCATCTGTAAAATATAAGCTTTCAATACAGTGACATCACATTAAAAAAAATCTACATATCACCTCAATGAGTCCATGTTCTAGATGATCTGTCCCAACAACCTTGTAATGGTGAGGGATGGTGTGATCTTCCTGTGTGGAATCCCGGGAATACAGAGGACGGGGACATCTCTCTGGTGGGTTCCCATGACTGGATCCATCTGTAGGAAACACACACACTGACTGAATCCATTGTTTCTATGTGTTTATCAGATGATGGGGGATCTAGGTGGATCCTCCGTACTGCTCTCTCCTTTACAATAAAGTCTCCTCTTACCCGGTGATGTGAGGGGCGGCTGATTGTCCATCATGACGTCCTTGTAGAGATCCTTGTGTCCTTCTAAATACTCCCACTCCTCCATGGAGAAATAGACAGTGACACCCTGACACCTTATAGGAACCTGACACACACAATGATACAGTCACCATCCAGACACATCCCTTGTCTGTTACTGGAGAATGTCCCAGAATTCCCGGCACCGCTCACCTCTCCTGTCAGCAGCTCCATCATCTTCTTGTGACTTCTAGAATCTTCTGCATGTTGTGTCTCTCAGGGTTTAGGGAGTCACATGGAGGCACTGTGATGGTCAAATGATCACCTGACTTCAGAAGAGGAAATCTCTGTATTGGAAAATGAATCAGAAAAATGTTTAGAATCCCAGAATCCTCCTTACCTCTCCGGTCAGGTCTGTGTGTTTTATTAATAGAGATAAGAGTGATGTCATGTGACCTCCCAGAATCCTCCTCACCTCTCCGGTCAGGTCTGTGTTTTATTAATAGAGATAAGAGTGATGTCATGTGACCTCCCAGAATCCTCCTCACCTCTCTGGTCAGCAGGTAGATTATCTCCAGGGTGAGGTTTAGTATCCTCTCAGTCATGTGACTCTGGTCTTCCTCCATCCCCTTGGTGTGGTCATGTGATTTATGTGGGTTGCTCTGTAGACGAATAACAGAGAATTATCTGGACGGTACTGGTTGTACAATATTAGGATGGGGGTATAAAGGGCAATAGTTGGGTTTCCCCCAGTGAGAATTGGTACATGTAGATTTGGTTATTTAGAGGTCTATTTATAAAGATATTTGCATTGCCATTCATCCAGAAAATCTGCATATACATTTGTTCTATGCAAATTAGGCAACAAGGAATGTCCTGTTCTCTTCTAAACTAATGTTCTTTTATTATGGGCCACAGTAAAATATCAAATTGGGGCCATTGAATGAAACTGAGGGCAAAATAGGTTTTTTTTTCTGCAAAAATATGAGTATTTATAATTTTTTCCCAATATGTGAACTTAGCTTTTAACCACTTCCCATCCGGCCCATGTAGATAAATGGCTGGACAGGAGCACTGCCGATGTTTCTTAATGTCCCCCCGCAACCATTGCTTGTGCGTGCTCCCTGGGAGCACGCAGCACCATGATCAATGTCCGCTGTGTCCGGAACACCAATCGCTGTACGGGACCTCTGTTTGAGGTCCCGATCATGAGATCACTGATTGGCCAATCAGTGATCACATGAAGAGTAGTAAACAAGATGTAACTTCTGACATCATTGCTTACTACGTGTGAAATCTGTGAATGATCACTGAGGTCACATGGTACAGGGCTATTCACAGCAGCCTTGTACCATGTGACAAGCTGTGACCAATCACAGCTCTCACAGTATTTCTCAATGGCTGCAAGAATGCAGCCAGAGAGGAGAAATTATTGCTTTTACAGCCTTTATGGGTGTAAAAGCAATCAGTGTAAAAAAAAAAAAAAAAAAAAAACCTCATCACCCCCCACAAGTAGTACAGTGTCACTGCACTGCTTGGGTGAGAGTATGTATAAAAAAACATAACTAATAATATAAAAAAAAATATATAAAAATGTAAAAACATTTTCTGAAGAATTATAAATTTTAGTTATAAATTAATTTGGGTTATTTATTTTTTTTTTTTGCAAAAAAGATAACTGAATACATTTTGGCTAAATTTATGAAGAAATATTATTTATTTACAAAATTTTATAAGAAAAACTTTTTTTAAAATTTTTTTAAATTTTCATTTATATAGCAAAACAATAAAAATCCCAGTGGTGAATAAATACCACCAAAATAAAGATTTATCTGTTTCAAAAAAATGCTAAATAATTCATATGGGTACAGTGTTGCATGACCGCGCAATTGTCATTCAAAGTGTGATAGCACTGAAAGCTGAAAATTGGCCTGGACAGGAAGGGGGTGAAAGTGTCCGGATTGGAAGTGGTTTAACACCCACCACAATAGATTTTCTTTGAAAGCAGAGTCTCTGTAGAAAAAAAATGGCGGAAGTTGCAAATTTTTATGTTGTATGAATTTTTGCTCATATGTTTATTAACCCCCCTGGCGGTATTCCCGAGTGTAGCTCGGGGTAAACTTTTATTACCAGAAGCGGTAACCCTGAGCTACACTCAGGAATACACTGCAGCGTTGCCCTGGGATCCCTCCAGCACTTACCTTGTCCTGCGGTCCTGCGATGTCCCCCCTGCAGCGTCCCCGGCCATCTCCTCCCGGCCGATGCCGGCATCCATCTTCCGGTTTCAGGTCCCTGTGACGTCGGGACATATGGTGACCTTCTGACTTTAGAACCACTTTACCCCATTGGGGCCCTATGTGACATCATAGTGGAAATGACAGGTCCTCTTTAAGGAGACATCAGGGGGTATATTAGACCTCCAACATCACCTATGGACCCCAGTGAAGCTGATGAAGTACAGATCAGAATGAATCAGCTGCTTCCCTGACCACAGTGACCGGGGAAGGACAGCTCTGGCTCTGGAAGTGATGAAATGTTCCTCTCTTCTGGGTTCATTCACCGGAGGGGAGATCCGAGAACTCATCCCCCTCCACTCCATCCGCCACGCCGGTCCCAGGCCTGCAGGAGGGGGCAGAGAAGCCCAAGGAACATGGAGGAGGAGCCTGGGGTACATGGAGGAGGAGCCCAGGGTACATGGAGGAGGAGTCAAGGGTACATGGAGGAGGAGTCAAGGGTACATGGTGGAGGTAGTCAGGCAAGAAGTTTGGTGTCTTTGAAGGAAGGGTGTGGAAGAATTAACTTCAGTACAACCCAAATCTGATTGGATCTCATCCCTCGTTACAAGAGACGGCTAAGGTGACCCATTTCCACAATGAGGAGAATGTTCCGGCCCCGGAAGTGGGGGAATGTTGTGCCCCTGAAGGGGTTAATCTGGGTTCCCACACTATATATGTGTGTATCATCATCTGCTGGAGATAAAAGATGTCACAGTGACTATGGAGGAAGAGGACGGACGTGACTATGGAGGAAGAGGACGGACGTGGATGGAGGAAGAGGACGGACGTGACCATGGA